ATTTCGATTAAAGCCAACGTTGGCAACATAGCTATGCATTCCTTTTTCGAAATCATGCTTTTTTCAGAAAATTACGAATTTTTCAATATTTTGAAATACTCTCAAAATCTGACCTTTTAGAAATGAAACAAAATCGATGCATAGCGTAATGAGGATTTGAATTAAAATACTAAATCAATGAAAAAATCCCGAGAAAGTAATTTGCCTGGGAACCTTTGCATTTTTTCTGTATTAGTCACATGACCATGGGCGTGGCCTGATGACGTCATCACTAGTCTTACTGATCATGAAAAAGTTGAAACACATCAAATAACTCTGAACTAACTGAAAATGAGGAGGTTAGATGAGACTAAATTTTCCTTAGCAACGGCTCGAAAAGATCGGTTAATGGGCCCTTAAGGACGATGCGTACTTTTGCCAGTGCGCACACGTTCTGCGCATCACGCAAGGCAGGTTTAAGCGCCATGCGCGCGCTGGGGTTGACACTGACGCAATCAACTACGCTACCAAGTACACGACTAAATTAAAAGCAAAATTTTCCTACCGTGACCAAATCAAGTTTAATGAACCTGTACTTTAACCAGGAACACCAGAACAGTAGCATATCGCTAACCACTAACCGTTAGCGTCTTCCAGCTGAAAAAATAGCTGTTATCTGTCGAAAATTATACTGAAATCCAACTGTAAACATGTACCTGCAGATGGCGTAGTGCGCGCGGAAAACAAGTTTGAGATACGCAAATGTTTTACTTACTGGGGAGGTGACAGGAAAATATGTAACGGGCACCGTAAACGTTTTCAAAAAAGATCAATAACTTTTAAAAAATGCGTGGCTACCCCTACATTTTATGTTATGAAATGGAAGTGGCAGGCCTGTTCAACACGTAATTACTTTTTTGGTTGAAGGTATTTAGACTGTATTTAGCTGAACCAGAGGAAGGCTGCCAGAGACCCTAAAAGCGCCGTTGCAGCGATTTTTGTCTTTAAAAGCATGCCAAAAATGGTTTTTATGTTATTATTTACCATGTAGTTTTAAGATCTTTACAAATGTGTTTGCTTTTCTGTCTGTAAAGGCGAATTCTAAGGAAATCTGCGAAGAAATATCCTTTCCTTCTTTTTTCAGAAAATGCTGATGTCGGCATTTTTGTTGAGATTTAAGGCTAATTATCTCGAAAAAATGCATGGCTACCCCAAATTTTCTTCGGGAATTCCAGCAGCCCTTGCAAAGATCTACTTTTTCCGTGTGATCCTACGCCTGGCGCAAAAACCTTTGTATTTAGCAGGCACCGTCCTTAATTTACGCTGTGTTCTCAGGGAAGACCTAAGTTAAGTATTCCACTAATTTTCACCAACTGTGTAGATCCATACGCTATAGTGTCATTGAAATCACTTTACAACGTACATCTATGTTAAATGGCCAACTGATCGTTCCCTGAATAGCCGCGCAAAGGATGAATGGCCATGTTTAACTGCAGTCTAAACATACCCACTAAAGCAGGCTTAAAAATGTTTACCCGGAGAGAGTTGAATGGTTCTCGAATGCCAATGGCCAGTCTGGTCACCACGCACATATATTTTTATTTTATTCTTTCCATAGCCATATGCAACATATATTTCTATTCTCATATTTATTTCATAATACTGCTGTAAATTAATTCTGTAGATAGTGCACGATAAAAATGGTTGGTTGGTTGGTTGGTTGGTTGGTGAAAAATGGTCGCCCACTGATCGATCGATGATCTTCTGTTTCAGAAACGCTCACTATATGTTTCCATTCACAGCTTGCCTCTAGGACACTGGAAGTAACTTTATGGTGCGAAAACAAAACAAAGCGCAACGTCTTTCTCGGAGAGGTACGTCACGAGCTGCAATGTATACCATTAAGAGCCATTTTACCTCCCCTTTAAACGAGCTCAGTCACGGAATTTTGGGTTATTTTGTCCGCGTAAAAACTTACTCTTAAATTGAAGGAAACCAAAAAATAGTAGTTTCCTAAGATGGAAAAACACCTAAGGGATCATAATAAACCATAAAGGAACAAGGATGGTTAAGGACGGAAAAGATTGACATGGATTACAGACGACGAACTTGAAAAGTTTAGGCTAATTTCAAGTTGTTGAAACCGTGACCCATCTCCTCTAACTTTAGATTTACTTGAATGAATATAAAACATATCAAGTAAGTTACAACAGAAATAGGCTCAAAATTCAAGTTATCCAGAGGGTAGCAAAATTACTTCAATATATGAGAAGTAAAACAGGTGAAGTCTGCATCGTGCCAAGTGTCCCATGCTGCCGGTTTAACTCGCAATTTCCGTGTCATTAACTCACCAGGAGTATTTTCTATACTCCCAAGGATGGGATATTTGTCCATCGCAAAGCTGTCCCCAGGCGTTAAGTTCACCAAAACCCACCTGGGTTCCTGAGTGGAGAGAGATACTGTTAGACACTGTGCCAAAGAACACAACGTAATGACCCCGGTCCTCAGAGGCTTTTCAGTGTTTTGCTTGGCCTACTGACACGTGTGAATACCTTATAGGTTCTCATTAAACTGACACCAGAGTGCCTTTGCAGTGGCGCCCAGTGGTTTGATCTTGTTGATCACGACGAGTTCTCCAGTTTCCTCCCGGTTCCAATGCCTCGCAGACATACTCTATCACCACGACTCAAAAAAGAAGGTAGTGCTGTCACTACTTAAGATATATTTTACGACCATGTTTTTATGATCATGATTAAATAAAATCTGTGGTGAGAAAGAAAGTACTACAATTTCAATTTGTCTAAATGATGTCACGTTCGGTATTGTAGGTAATCGCTCGACGTTTGTTTGCTTCCTTGTTTTATTTTTTATATTAAACCAACCAATGTTTTTATAAATATTTGTGTCGACTACCTCTGGTTTAACTTCGATCACCTTCGAAGCACCTCGGAGGACCGCGGTTATCTTTGTTGCACTTTACACTGGCGTTACAATTTTTGCACCGGTGTTTAACTTGAACTGCACAGCTCTTAGCCAATCGCAATAGAGTACTTTTTTTTGCAAGTGTATTTGTAGGTATTAAAAGCAGCGCATGTCGCGTCAATATGTTGCGGGTAGGGTTGAAAATAAAGTTTTCTGATGGAAATCAGATTAATCGATTTTTAATCGATTTTTAATCGATTTTGTAATCCGTGCACCCTTTGACTCTTCAAACAACTATGAAAGAGGATGACTGCACAACAGTGTACACGTGTTAAGCTTGCAACTACAGTCCGCCTTTCAGGACCATGGCACTTCGTAAAATATAGTCAATATTTTCACGCGCTTTAAATATGGAACTGACTTCGCTCTCGCTTTCTTTTCTTGTGAAGGTAATAGTTTCCAGTGGGATAATGCTTCCAGAGTGAAGAAAAGCAGCTCTTCTTGTTGTAGGTTTGCTCACCTCAGCTTAAGCACGGTTAACATCCCAGTGAGTAGCTTATCTTCCACAGTCCTTGACTACGGGAAAGGTAACAGGGCTCTTTATCATAGAAAGCGGAGACGAGTTGATTCCGTCGTCAAAATGGAGGCCTTCCGTCCTAGAAGACAAACTGAGTTCTCCATAAGGCATTCTATCCAGAGGAAATATTTAGGTGAGAGTAGGAACGTTCTATCAGAAAAAAAATTCTTTAATGTTTCCATTGCAATCATATTTTGACAGGCAGGTTTTTCCAGATTTGGTATTTGTTTTAACAGCAAAATTTAACTTTTAGCAGCTAACTAGTTCGGGTCATTTCTGGTGGTTTTGGAAAAATCAATCAAATCAGAGTAGCGGTGTGCTGGGTGTACCATTATCTTTTAACCCTGGGGTAACAATATACATGGCAGCAATTTTGGAGGCGTGTGCGCACCCATTCCGGGGGGTGGGGGTGTACTCCCCAATGTTTTTGGTGTGGGTCGTACGTCGCGAACCTTAAAACAAGTACCCTAATTCAGACAAAAACCTGTGATTTTCCATACCCCATTTCAGACTTTAGCGAAAACTCGACACCCCATAAACCTTATTCCAAAATGGCCGCCATTTAAGTATTCTTTTGTTTTCTTGCAAATTAGCCCTTGTTGCCTCGTTCTTAAACTCGAATTTCAAAAGAACATTTTCCCTTAAACGAGGCAACAAGGGCTAATTTGCAAGTAAACAGAAGAACACTAAAATGGCGGCCATTTTGGAATAAGGTGTATTTCAGATCTCTAAAATTAGTATACGGCTCTAAATATTACCATAGCTAACCAGAAATGGCTTCCATTTGCGTAAACATTTGAGAGCGGCTAGCTACAAATTTGCCAATGTTGATGTGGAAAGAGTACCTTGTAAACAAAATGACCAGTACCAGGCCAGAGTGAAAAACATATCCTATTTCAGACCAAAATGGTCAACATTTATACCCTTTTTCAGGTCGAAACCACTTAAAAACACGTTTTGCTTGTTTCACAGAGTCATTCAAAAGCAATTCAGCACCTGTTACACCCGCAACAAGCATTCCAGCTTCCTTGGAAGATCTGAGACTGAAAAGGAAATTCGCGAAATCAACCGATATCTTAAAATCAGCTCTCGGCCCAGTAGAACACTTGTCACAAGTCAAATTAATGCGGGACAACTCTAACGAGCAAGAGCTTGAAGTTAAAGGGGAAAGAGAGGGAAAATTTAAAGGAGCGCTGAAGGCCATGAAAAGGTATGTCTGCATTGGCTTGTTTCATAGTTGCCTGAGCGTTAACTGGACCAGTCAAGGGATCTGGATTGTGGTGGTGGAATTTCAGTTATCAGGTCAATTTTCACGGATTCCTCTTGAATTTCAGCCCAGTTATTTGCCACCAACACTTTTGGAACTCCCAGGCCTCAGCTTACTGTCAGCTTTAAAAAGCGAATATTTAACATTGTAACCATCGCGGACTCAAACCCATTATCTTTGCTCAAAACAATTATTAGGGCATGGCTCTATCTTTATTGCACCCAACAATTAGGGGGGGGTGGTCTATCTTCTAAGGTTTTAACCACACTAATCTAAAACTTTTTCAGACTAACTGTTTTTGCAAATTTTGTCATATTTATCTGGATGATATGTGCAAATTAGGCTACGTGACTTCTGACGGCCAAAAACTTCCAAAAAACCAGCAGTCATTTAACTTAAATGCACCCAGATAGCTCAAAAGGTTAGCAACAAAACATGTGTTCCCGGACTTAATTAAATCTTTCATTAATTTTGAAAATAAACGGCATTTTGTACTAGTCCCCAATCCCCCAATAAAACTGAATTCTTATTTGATGCTTTCATTTTAAAAAATCTCAACAGGTCCGGGCACGGAAATAAAGTACTTAATAGTCTTAACATTATAAAGCTAATTCCAGCTTCCTAGATGTTGTAAAAAAAAGGTGCCATATTGCTAAGAAGAAATGTGAGCTAAAAATAGCCCTGACAGGTCACGTGACAATATATCAGCCCAAAAAAATACTAAAGGTTGCCGAACTTTTTGCTCATAAAGATATTCCAAGATTATAGGGTGTTGCGTTAAGGTGGCTCCCTGTAGTTTTACGATGCACACGCGCTGAGGACGGAAGCTAAAGTTATCTGCGCACGCTCAAAGGAAAACGTCAGTGTTTTTCGATATTTTATGACGTCAACATGAGCACAAAACGCAAAACTGGCAGTGAATTTTCTCGCTTTTTCTTCGGTGAATTGTTTTTTAACTTTAGCTCATTTGTAACCACATACAATTCCCATAAAATACCCTATTTTTGTTAAAATCTGTCAGAGCTAATCTAATGTATTTAAAAGAATGACAAATTACAAAATATTGGGAAAACCGTCTAAACAACCTTGACTTTTAACCTATTCAAAACGTCAGGCAATATCATTTCCATGATGTGGCAAAATTTGAAAAAAATTTCACCGAAGGAAAGTATCAATATCAAGGAGTTAAGGCCAAAATGAGGAATATATCTGCCTGTCGTTAGATGAGGTATTGCCATGGTAACGGCCTTAATCCATAAATTGACAACCAAACAATAAGCCTTATTTCAACAGTACCCATACTGGTAAATCTCTACACGAAAGGCTTTAAGAGTCTTCTTTTCTAACTCGCGCTCTATAGGGAGTGTGTTTGTAAATGCTCTAGGGAGCCACCTTAAATGCCTAAAAATTAGACCACCTCCTCACTTTTCTCATGACAAGTTTTAAAGCCAGGCCTTAATTTTCTTGAGTAACTGGATTTCTCCTAATTTTTTCAGTCATTTACTACCGGCTATTTTGATTTAAAAACTCGGTTATTTCCGGTAACTCCTCGCTATTTCGAACTGATTTGTGATTTTGTTTCCCTTGAACTAAAATCATCCTGATCAATTAAGGACATGCAGCTCGCTTACTTAATTTAAGTCAATATATAAACTGTAATTACGATTACAGTTAGCTCTTTTAGTTTTATCTACCTGGCTATATATTTTGTAAGGCGCTACTGAATTCTGAAGAAGCATGCAGCGCTATATAAGACTGAATTTATTATTATTATGATTATGATTATTATTATGATAATAAACATATTTTTCTAGATAATGGTGACCCAGTTGTTTTCGAAGCCCCCATAAATCCACTCCAGCTACCCTCCCCCTCCTCCCCTTCCTTAGAAATAGCTGGGTTCAGAAGACCTGTACATTCCTTTGTGCTTTCCTTTTTTTAGCATATATACACTCGTAAAGACAATTCGTTTTGTCTTCCAGGTATCCATCGAATCTGCGAATACGCTTAAGTAAGCTGCATGAAAAGCAACCAGTTGGAGAGGCTGCCAAACGCGAGGCTTGCGAATCAATGGCAAAATGTAAGGGTGATACAGTAATTAACTACTTTCACTAACATTATCGATGAAAAACCACTCTGCAATTCAAATACCTCACTCCCATCCCCTCCGTGTTGGAAAATGAGTACAGTCAATGGCTAGTTCTAAGCTCTTGATGGTCGTTCACTGTTTCATCGACTTCGGAACCCTTCGGATATTCCATTAAGGAAAAACCCCTGCGATGGACCAGTATCCCGTCCAAGGAGGGGTAGAAATATTCCTAGAAGCGCAGACTTTACCTTTGACCATGAAGGACCAACGAACAAACAAAGAAAATTGAGCAAACTGAAGAATTGAAAGAAAGAAATTGAAGAGTATTTGTTAAAGCAAGACAGAATACAGCATGAATGTAGCATTTAGTTAATAGTTTTTATTGTTGTAACCAAATCTTTCTTTTCAGTTTTTAATATGACACTAATTTGAAATATTTTTTCAACTGCACATAGGTTTATACCAGCTGTCTTTGTATTTAAAGTCAGCTGATCTATTTTTTGCAGTACAAATAAAGTATTTATCATTATCATTATCACTATCATTGTCATTGTCATTGTCATTGTCATTGTCATTGTCATTGTCATTGTCATTGTCATTGTCATTGTCATTGTCATTGTCATTGTCATTGTCATTGTCAATATTATCATTATTGCTATTATTTAGAGTCTTCGAATTTTGTTTGGCAAAACTGCACGAACTGTGTTTAACCATTTTTAACGTCTAATAGCGTGGCTAGAATGAGTTTTTTTGGAGATAAAAACGTTGACACCCTTTCTAAGTTGCACTAGTCGCCATACAGGTTCTTTACCCTTATTCTTTGGCGTTTTTGGACCACACAGTTGCCCCGGGATACAAGTCCTTACCAGCAACCCCATGTATCTCGAAGTCAACAGAGGACATTCGAAGGGAAAGATCCTTTACAAACTATTTACAAGTACCTCCAAGTCCTGGGGTCTTTCCTGGACTTGTGAAGCGTTTATCGGAATTGACACCCCCTGTGTTGGAAGATGAAGAACCAAGGTAAACTCTCTCTTGTCTTAGTACCGCCAGTCTCAAATCAATTTTGACTTAAAAAGCGCCGATTTCTGATTATGAACCAAGCTAATTACAGCCGAACCTTCACTAAAAGCCACCTCCGTACAACGGCCACCTCGTAACAACGGCCACTTCCCTCCGTCTCCAAGGTGCCGTTGTGGAAAAGCTCGACTGTATGCGTTTTATTTGCATTTCAGCTCACTTACATGTATCTACAGTTGGCTCATAGTAAAAACAGTGTAATATGCCCTGCCAATTAACGAAATACGTGTTGTGTTTTGTTGTTGTTGTTAATGTTGAAACCGGAATTATATCCCAACAAATTAAAACTTGGCGTTCGCAGGTTTTCTCGCGTTTGACACTGGCCCTTTTTTCCTTTCACCTCCGTCTGATTGGTTTATTTTTATTTGCGTTTGTTATTATTGGCCATAAATACGCAGTCCGAATAATCATTTGAAATTTACACACGCGCTCACAAGTTGTTTTCGCCTATTTTGAGTTCTTAAAGTCAAGGAACCGATCAACGCAAACTAGCAATCTTACTTATTTCGTCACTATCGTTCCATTTCTGATTCCCATTTGGCCAGTTGATGATATATATTCATTTGTGGTGTCTCCTCTAAATTCTTCTTCTTTGAATAGTGCACTACCACTACCCAAGGTACCTCTGAACACAGTCGCGAAGGCATCTACGCTACTGCAGGACAATCTTTGCTAACCTAGTCGTGTTTGTAACCAAATTGTTGACCTTTAACTCTAGCAACACTAACAAAGTTAAAACATTTTAATTCTAGGCAGCACTTCAGCTTTTCAAAGCCATCCCTGAAGGGGCAGCTCAGTAATGTGGCAGAGCAGGAAGCCAATCAGAAGGAAGATTCGGTTTGCACTGCTTCCGAAGAGCAATGCGAAGGTAAATAAATACAATAATGTGCATAAGTAATGCTAACGGTATTCGAGGAAATGCGCGAATATCGGGGCTTTTCCAAGAAAATGAACGAAAACTCCTCTCCCACCGAAGATTCGAAGAATTGTCTTCGAAAACCCGGACACCCATTCAAAGCGTATAGTTTCTGCTGTTGCAAAATTTCGCTTGGCTTCGTTAAAATTTGCTACGATAGCTCGTGGGACCTTGCAAGATTTCTCTCAAAATTTCCTTCCATAGTCTCATATGAAACATTGCGTGGAGTGTGCCTCACCTGTGCCAAACTCTGCGCAATTGTTTGTGCTGCCTGAGTATTAAGCAGTGTAACGGCGATAGCGATGTTTCTTGTTTTATACAACAAAACAATCATGTTTCATATGAAAACCCGCGCATGATAGTTGTTTATAAGTCAATCAAATTTGCTTTAAAAGCTACAATCCCAGACAAAAGAGTTGGGACACGAACCAAGCTCTCCCCTGCCCCCACTTTCAATGTTGACAGTCAGGTGATTTTTCCCTTTTTTGTTGGAGAAAACGCGATATTTTCCAACATTGATTAGGGGGGAAGGAGGATACGTGATACAGCTCAAGTGTCCCAGCTACTTTTGGCTGGTATTGTAGTTTCTAGGAATGTTATGTGAACTCGTCAGTCTAAAATACTATTAGTGTATCAGTTGAGTTGGGCTGTGCCCAACCATGGCATTAGGATCCCTGCTTCGTAAGAGTCGTGGAGCATAACAAAGATTCACTATTGCAAGTGAATATATGAAGGGTCATATATTTGGACTGCGGAGAACGATATGAAGACATGACTGATCATCGATGATCAGTCATGTCTTCATATCTTTCTCCGCAGTTCAAATGTATGATCTTTGATCTAATATTCACTTGCGTTCTTCACCATCTACGGGTGTATTACGAACTCACAACATGATCAGCTCCCAGTTGGCTTGATAGCTCAGTTGGTGGAGCACTGCACCGGTTCGCAGAGGTCATGAGTTCAGGCCTGAATTTTTTTAAGGCTTTAATTTCACAACTATTCGTTGTTTCCGGGCTGAATGGGAGATAATATCTCCCATTCAAACCTGATTATAATTCAGATGTCTTGATTCCGAGTTGGTGTTAAAGTTCAATTAACTACGTCGTCAAGTGCCAGAAAATGATGGCCGAACCGGCTTTCACAATACATATGTGCTGAAACAGCCCTCTCAAATAAAATGATTGATAACGATGCAATTGATACTTTCGTCAGTTTTGAACGCAAAATTCTAATAGGCAAGTCAAGGAAGTACCATAACAAGAAAACAAAACAAAACAAAGCAAAAAACATACACAGCTGTTCATTAAGTCATCACATCATTGAATCTCGTATATTTCGTTCTCTAATTTATCAGCTGTACCTATGGTAACTGCGTCATCAGAAAGCCAACCAGTGGAAATATCATGTCTACCCTTGGAAAACGTGGAACAGGAGTCATCCCTTATTAAAAACCGTGGAGCGGGAGTTCTACCCTTGGAGAACGTGGAGCAAGAGTCATACTCAAACGCTACTGATAATGGACAAATTCCTCAAATTGTTATATTCCACTCAAACACTCCCGATGATGACATGTCCGAGTTTCTGCAGAATGATACAGGACAGAACGAAGCGGAAGTGACAGCAGCTGCTAAGCCACCAGTGGAGAAAAAAGGAGCCATGAACGCTTTGAGAAAGTAAATATACGTCATATAACTAAAGAACGAGTTCTCTTTTAGTCTTCTATCATCTTATTGGGTCTTCTTTAAGCAGAAATTGCATTTGCCAAACGAACCTGTGAACGAACAGAGCAAACCAGGAAAGAATCGAAAAAGAAAGACGTTTTTCTGTCCATTTTGCTATCTATACCTCTTTTTGCTTTCTGTCCCCAAAAATTCAAAGCTGAGTGACACTTGCAGCATACCTTTTCTATATATTAGGTCAAACTCAGCCATAATGGATGATATGCGATATTGAGAGCAACTGAACCACAAAGCTATAGAAATGCATCATCCGAGAATTTAGTTAAGTTAAATATACTCTTCACAGGCTAAAATAACAGGTTGATTGCCCTAGAGATGAGAAGATGAGAAACTGGGAACTCTGTATTTGGAGTATATTGGTGAATTAACCTCAGTAAATGAACGAACGAACGAACGATTGAATGAACGAAACTTTATTTCAGTAGGGTGCGTAGATACAGTCAAAGACTGCAGGCTCCCTTATGGCCCTATAATATCAATGTGTCGATCTGAACTAATCTCAAAATTAAACGATGTGTTTCATTCCAATCTCAGGTATTCTAAAGCTTTAAGTCGCTCGCCAAGCTTGAAATCGTCAGAGAGACTTTCCTTGTTTGGCGAAGATCCTGCAAAGGATGTCACCGGACCAGGCCAGTTGAGAAAAGGAAGTTTATATCTAGGTAATGGTAAAACGATAGCGTGAATCTAATTCGGAGCAAATTGGATCTCTTTCACCAGCATCGAATTTTCTCGATTAGTTTTCAGATCACCAAAGCTGTTACTAGTGCTTTGTGGGAAGAGATCGAGTGGATTGATTGTACTCGACCACTGTGTGGAAGCGCCGAGGAGTCCTTGGCGTCCTGGCTGTGTTTCACGGGTCCGAAAAAAAAAAAAACAGTAAATACAAGATTGGATATTCCCTTTCGTCTTCTAGCTTCTTCAGATCGGGGAGGGAAGATTTTGAGGCCTAACTAACTTTAAACGTAACTCCACATTTGGTGACTTTTCATTTAATTTATGTGGAAAAAATCTCGAGCGAAATGTGATAGGCCGAGGAACACAACATTCCCATGCTAACCGTCTTTTGACGGGGTTGTATTATTATTATTATTATTATTATTTTATTATTATTTTTTTATTTTTTTTAATTTTTTATTTATTTATTTTTTTTCATTTTCTGTTCCTAACTTTTACTCTTTTTTTTTTAGATAATTTTAGTTTCTTTTTAGGTTTTTACCATTATGAGCCAGTTTGCGTGATTTCCTGACCCTTATTAAAAATCATGAAATCCAGAATGGCTATCCATCCTTGCGGCTGTTTAAAAGTATTGACATCATTTCTGCGTCTTCGACATGTTACAAATCCTTCAAGTTTCATGGTCATGTACAGCTTTTTGAAATACTCTACGTACGAGTAGTTCACGTGATCTTGAAAGGCGAAGTAAAATAGAGCAAAATACACTTTGATAAAATGCATGATAATCTGATTTCTTGAAGGTCAGGAAATTGGCTACCTTCGAATTGGTCTGTTAGCAATCCGAGGAACTCTTGAAGTGGAGATCATACGAGGTATCATTCTACTTCTCCCAGGCGACCATCCACCAGGTAAGATAACCATACAAATTCTCCTTAATGACTTGCTTACATTTGTTGTAGTATTAGTTTGGAGAATTTTAAAACTTTCGCCTTCATGGTGACTGTGTATTGCTTTTATGAGAAGGCACTAAATTTTTCAACGATCATTCTGAAGATTGCAGACGTAAACCAGAAACCACGTTAAATACTTCTCGTTTTTTGCTAATATTTGACAAGTAGATTCCATGTTACCGTGCGTCTGTCTGTTCAGTAATAGATCACAGATGGTAAGAACAAAAAAGTGGCACACGAGGCGATGGCCGAGTGTGTCACTGATGTTCTTACCCCATTTTGTGCTATTAATTGGGAACAGACGAGACGGCAACATAAAATCTACTTGTTTTATATAACAAAAAAGGTCGATGACGTCATCTATGGGTCTGTCCTCCAATAGATCATAAGTAAGATAATTTGACATATTATTTAATTTTGCACAGATACCTATGTGAAGACATATCTGATCAAGGAACATATCAGGCTTCTCAAGCGAAAGACGTCTTTCACTCGTCAGAGTGTCAATCCAGTTTATAACTGTAAAATTAAATATCCTGGGGACGATCTCCACAACAAGGAGTTGTTGGTAAGACTTTTTTAATTTCACTTAATGTTTACTTATTTTCTTGCTTGCTTCTTTTTGTTTTCTTTCCTTCCTTCCTTCCTTCCTTCCTTCCTTCCTTCCTTCCTTCCTTCCTTCCTTCCTTCTTTCTTTCTTTACTCCCTCACTCCGCCCTTCGGCCCCTTCCCCGCCCCCTCCTCCACGGTGGTGAGTGCAGGATCGGAGAGGTACTCAACAAAGATTATCAGGGGATGCTACAGCCTAAGGTCTGAAAATGCCCATTTATGTATCATGTCTGACAGAAAAGGTAATTCTGTCAATGTGACCCTCCAAAAGATGCAATCCCTTTCACATTCTCACAGTAAACAAACTGCGCACCTTTTCTCCACCCTCGAATCAATTATAAAGTGTAGGATGACTTACTTACTTTTTATGTACATGACAGTTTTACTTACTTATCGTTAAGCTTGAGAGATTGCCACGCTGGTATACACTTTCAGCCCAAAAGGGCTTGAAGGTACAACTGTACCCCTTTCGTGTGAATCCTCTCTACAAAGTCAGTTGTGGGAGTAGCCACCCTCTGGTCCCTTCCCCTCCTTCCTGGTTTACTTGCTACTTTTCTGTCTTGCTTTCAATTTGTTCTTCTTTATTGCCAGTTTAACAATTTACAAACAATTGTATTTCCACAGGTGAGCATATGGTGCAAGCAGGGCATATTTGGTCGCAAAGTGCTGCTTGGAGAAGTCCGCATTGCCTTAGGAGCTCTTAACCTCAGTGTTAAACAAGTGTCTTGGTATAAGTTATTTATTGACTCCCAGCTGAGTGAATGATGGTTGATTTGTCGAGAACCAAAACAATCCTTTGGAGATTTTATTTTTAGTTAGCCTTTAGTAACTGGCCTAAAGGGTGGCAAATAGTTTTGTTTCCCCAAATCCTTAATCCTTTCCAGAGCGAAGAAAAGGGGTTCATTGCTGTCAGATTACAACGATAATTATTTCATTTTAATTTATACATTTATGACTAAACCTTCCAAGCTTTCGAATCTGCATCGCGATATTCTTCTTTAGGTTTAATGTTTCTCTTTATAAATATAATAAATGTATATTTTTTAATTTCAACTGTCAACTTCCAAAATAAGTAAACTTATCTGTTCTCTAGCTAGACGCTCCTCCTCATTTGTTGTTTTAACTCACGGCCTGAGCACGTGCAAGACAGTGGGCCATATAGGTCGGGTTTATAGGTCGACTCGTTAAACGCTTTTGAGGCGCGTCACGTGAAACCAATAGAAAAACTAAATTTTAATTGCTAGTATAACAACATTTACTTATTGATTTATTAATTGTCTATTTATTCAACACTCCAAAACGATAAGCATGGAGAAAATTCTCAGCACTAGTACAAAGCCTAGCTTAGAATTGTTCGACTGAGTGACTCACTGAAAGAAAAAGTAACTATCATATGGTTATCAACATCTTGGGAACTCGCTTCCACAATACGTTTCTAAAAAACGCAAAATTAGTTCTGATATTACGCCAATCAAAACTAGGCCCTCTTCAGTTTTGATCGGAAACAAGCCGAAGAGCTTATTAGCGGAACTTAACGTCATATCTGGAGTGTAGTCTATTTCCAACTGATTGTTAGTTGTATTCGAAAAATATAGTAAAAGCAAACACAGAGAGACATCGTCAAGTGACTCGTTTTATTTCTGTTACTAGATAACTTTCAACAGGACAAGTGTACTAAACAGGGTGTAATTATAATATAACATGCAGTCATCAGTTTTTTGGGCTGTTACTTGAACCTCCATGATTACGGAAATATCTACAAGGATATAAATAAATAAAAATCAGTTACAATAACTGTTATAAACAAACGCCTTTGCAAAAACAGAATAATATAGAAAGGCGTTGTAGCGTTTTAACAACTGAACAAGCACATGCACAGTTATGTCCAGCTTTGTAAACCCTAAGAGATTTCCCCTTTAAGGTTACAGTATACCTTCAGATCGGCAATTTTCTTCAAATTTGGATTTTTGGTTCAAAGTAATGGTCGAAGAGTAATCTCTAATTTCTGAAAAC